ATTCGTAAGAACCAGTAGCTTCTACAGCAGCGTTTTCGATCCGGCGTTCTTCAGGACTCCGTGTTCTTCGACGACGATTCCGTCGGAGGTTTCAAAAGCGTGTTGTAGTTCCATCGAAACCACATCAGCTTCCTGCCTGAGGATTTGGACAACATCTCAACAGCGCGGCAACGGCCAAGAAGGCAAGAGCAACAATACCTTATCAAATCAATAATATTATTAATAGTTATTCAGTTATTTGCTTGTTTATACGTACAGATTTCATCTTGATGTGGAGATTAACTGTGTAATGATTACTTTTTGGAGATGCTCACTATTTATACACAATTGGTTTTGTGAGTGTGAATGTCTTTTGATAAGCAACTTTTTTCTATTAGCTATTTATCTTCAAGGCTGTTAAGTTTGTTCATCTCGTAGAAATGTAATTTTTAAAAATTGGTCTTCAAAATGAAAGTCGTTTATTAATTGCATCAGTAATGTTTAAAAATTTTAATAATACAAATAATATCAATGAATCCAACATTATATTTTGAGAGATTTAAAAAAAATCAAATATTTATTTGTATAAATAATAGTACATTTTTTTAATTTAAATTATTTACTTTTATTAAATATATAATAAAGTTGATTCTAAAATATTAAAAAATATTTGAAAGCTTCTTAGACCTTTTGTATTTGTTTCGGTATATTGAAGATATAGTATGCAATTATCTAATTTTAAAAAAAATCAGTTAATATTTGTTATCATGTCGCTTATATATGGTTGATGCAATACATAAATGTATATTGCAACATTATATACGTTGTAAATAATTTACTTTTTCCAATTCTTTATTTTGTTTGTCTAGTAGTTGCCTTTATTGATGATTATGTAGAAAAAGTGGATGTATTCTTTCAAGATACTAGATTCATTAGGATATGACCATATATATAATGACTTAAGTAATTATTAAGTAACTTATATTAGTGCAATGGTCACCTACTCAAGTTTCTTGACTTTTTATTAACCTCCAATAACTCCCTAACAAGACACAATTCCTAATTTTCTAGACCCAACAATTTTTTAGCAACTGAATCAGACAACAACATCAACTGAATCAACATCAGATGGTTTGATCTATCAAGATTTATCATACCAACAAAATTGAAGGATTAATTCCTTGTTCGTGGACATTTCTTAGAAAATTATAACAATGCCCAACTTGGCATGTTCAAACCACCGCCTCACAAAGAGTTAACAGACTTGATTCACTTGATACAAATTTATTTTTTTAAGTGTTATCATTAATTACAATTTGCTTATCATCCAGTGTTATATTAACATCATTTACTATTTCTGTATTTTCTTAGGATAATAAATTCAAAAATGAAATTTATATGTAAATGAAAAAGAATAAATACTTATAATAATATTTATTATATTGCTGTTTTTATTTATGGTAATATTTACAAATCATGTATGTACAAAAGGTCATTTATAATACCTTTCCTTGTGGAAGTGGTTGTGGATGAGATGCGATGTAGTCAAGAGCCCTTTGGATCATTGGTGGGACTGGTGGTGGGGTTGGTAAGAAATCGGCTTGTGGTTGGAAACCGTTCTCATCGGCAACGTAATGAAGAGCGTATTTGGTTCCATCTGGAGCGGTGAATTCGTAAGAACCAGTAGCTTCCACAGCAGCGTTTTCAGATCCGGCGTTCTTCAGGACTCCGTGTTCTTCAACAACAATTCCGTTGGAGGTTTCGAAAGCGTGCTTGTAGGTTCCATCAAAACCTACATCAGCTTCCTGTCTGAGGATTTCGACCATTTCTTCAGCGGCGATGGCGGAGGCAAAAGCCAAAACGGCGCAAGCGACAAATACCTAATAAAGTCAGTAATAATTATAAAATATATATTAAATTCATTTATTTGATTGTTTATACTTACAGATTTCATCTTGAATTGGAGATTAACTGTGTAATGATTATTTTTCGGAGATCGTTGGTATTTATAGATGATCAATCAAGTGAGTGTAGTTGTGAGAGTGTGTTTAAGCCAGTTTTTTCTTCCTTACTTGTCTCCAAGGCTGTTAAGATCATACATTTCATCAAACGCAATTTTGAAGATGCGCCACAACGGTGAAGGTCATCGATCTCTAATCGAAAAAATGAAATACCAAGGAAAGAGTATATGCAATGACTAATTGCATATGCCTTAAGCTATTATTCAATTTTACCTTGCGATAATAATTTTAGCCACACTATATGTTTGTTAACTAAAAATATGTTTATAGTAATATTAATTTAAAAGGCAAAATTACTTATAGTAAATAGTCTACTGCAAAGGGCTATACTTTTTTTTGTCATAATTAGTCAAAATTAGTTTTAAATTAATCAGTGCAAATTTACTATAATTTATTTTTAGAAAAGTGCTTTGATATTTATTTCCATTTTATTTAATCAATATAATTAATAATAATATTTAATGCAAAAAAATCGTACTACATACTCAAAAAAAAAACAACATAATATAACAAGAAAATAAAAAAAATGCAAATTTATATACTACAAAGGGCTATTGACAACCACAGGTCTTCTTGTCCCAATATAATATTTTTTTTCGATTAATTGTAGAATTTGTTCAATATTATAAAGATGCAATATGTAAACAATTTATATTTAAAAAAAATATGTTTCTAGTTGATTAATATATGCAACTTTATTCACACGGAAGCTATTTACATTAACTACATTTGTGCTTATATAATTGTCTAAGCGATATTTTGGTAGTATATCCATTTTATCTTAATTTATATTTTACTTAATATTATATAAAGGAATACCTCACCTAGTGCGGTTTTGATTGTTCCGGTTTAAAAATTTCAAATCAAACTATATTTTAATTAAAAAAAATAAATTCTACAAAATTAGTACACAAAATTATTTTGTATGATTTTAAACAGTCCGAAATATCGGTTGGAAGCAATTAGCAAGACTATGCAAGGTATTGCTTATAATCGAAGTTAATTGAAAATTTAGAAATTTTAAATTTAATTACATTATCGTTTTGGTCAAAAATAGAAATTAATAATAAATACATTAGTATAATAAAAAAAAATTAGGTTTTGGATTATATTTAAAGTATTTGAATATTAAGGTCAAACGTACGGAAGCTATTGTAGAGTGTGTTATACAATCGCATATTGAGGTAGGTAATGTGGAGTAGTTGTGTGAAGTCAAGTTTAAACGAAGCACGAGCAACAATCATTAAATTCCGAATCGCATATTAATTCGCCATAAACCGCTTTTTGTTTCATTTATTGACCTTTCGCTAAACGTATTAAATTCTCATTTTCATTTATAATCAAACATAAATATACTTTTTTTGTTAAATCTCATCACGTTCTATAAGTGTGACGAAAACATTCTTCACTTTTTTAAGTGTTATCGTCAATTTGAATTTGCATCCATATTTATATTTAAATTATTTACTATTGCTATGAAGTTATACTATGCAACTGTTATGCAATAAACGTAATAATAAAAAGTTGCAAAATAAAAATGAAATTGAAATGTAAAAGAAACAGAAGGAATACTGCTAATAACAATTTATTATATTGTTGTTTTCATTTATGGTAATATTTACAAATCACGTATGTACAAAAGGTCATTTATAATACTTTTCCTTGTGGAAGTTGTTGTGGGTGAGCTGCCATGTAGTCAAGAGCCCTTTGGATCATTGGTGGGACTGGTGGTGGGGTTGGCAAGAAGTCGGCTTGTGGTTGGAAACCGTTCTCATCGGCAACGTAATGAAGAGCGTATTTGGTTCCATCTGGAGCGGTGAATTCGTAAGAACCAGTAGCTTCCACAGCAGCGTTTTCAGATCCGGCGTTCTTCAGGACTCCGTGTTCTTCGACGACGATTCCGTTGGAGGTTTCGAAAGCATGCTTGTAGGTTCCATCGAAACCGACATCAGCTTCCTGCCTGAGGATTTCGACAACATCCTCAACAGCAGCGGCAACGGCCAAGAAGGCAAGAGCAACAAATACCTAATTAAATGAATAATAATTAGTAATAGCAATTAGGTTATTTGTTTATTTATGCTTACAGATTTCATCTTGATGTGGAGATTAACTGTGCAATGATTATATATCAGAGATGATCACTATTTATACACAAGTAGTTTTGTGAGTGTCTTTTGATTTGAAACTTTTTTCTATTAATTACTTGTCTCCAAGGTTGTTAACTTCGTACATTTCGTTGAAACATAATGTTTGAAGATGAACCGTAAAAACGAAGGTTGTTTATTTATTGATAATTGGTACTTTTAATTATAAAGAAAGTAAAAAATCTACACACAATTTTAATTAAGCTAGTTACCTAGATCACAAAATAAATATAATATATAGAAGTCTCAAGTATGATTTCCTCCGATAGAGAACAAAAATATTTAGGTGTATAAATAGAACCAAAATTGAAATTTAATTGATTTTACTTTTATTATATATAATATTTGATTTAACTTTTCTCGCTGTTGTCTTTGCTGATGATTATGAGATATAAAAAATCAAAGTCGATGGAGCCTATCATTATTATTAAGGAACCTATATTGGGATATCCATCCAGGAAAATGGACTTATAAAAAACGCTGAAAACAAGGAAACCCAAGCTGTAGAAATTCAAGTACAGTGGAACCACGCCTCGCTTAACGAGCATTTCGCTTAACGAGTGACGTTTCGCACAACGAGTGACCATGAGAAGAGAAGTCCCGGATTGCGCGCCTGCTACATCATTTTTAAAACTTGTGTACACATATTATGTGTATTCTTGAATATACGAATATACTATACGAGTAAAAATGTGGAAATTTTGGAACGGATTAAACTCGTTAGGCGAGGTTCCACCGTATATTACAAATCCACCGCTCAAGATGGTACCACAATCATAGTACATTACTTCGCCAACGAACTGTTTTCAACCACAAGGAGATTATCTTTCAATTACCCCAAGTCCACCACCAGTGACTGCAGCTGTCATCAAGGTTTTCAAAACATCCATACTTACCCAATAAAACCAGAGCCTAGAATAAACAGTAAATATTTTGTTTTTTTATTAAACAGAATATATTCAAAAGACATCAAGTTTTTCGAACGTTGAGTTTCAAGAGTTTCTTGATTTTTTATTAACTTTCTCTAATCGACCTAATCTTATATATCGATCACTTTTAAAACTACTGAATTAAGATTTTTACTTCAAACTTTCAGTCTTCTAGCTAATATCTCGATTTATTAATGTACCTTATTCAGTTTCTACCAATAAAAACTTTTAAGTATTATTATCGGTTAGAATTTGCTTATAATCCAATAATATATTTTCTTAGTATGTGTCTTATATAATAAAACTTATATATTCTAAAATGTAAATGAAAGAAAATAATATTTAATAATAACATTTTATTATATTGCAGTTTTCATTTATAGTAATATTTCATTTATAATACTTTTCCATGTGGAAGTTGTTGTGGATGAGCTGCGATGTAGTCAAGAGCCCTTTGGATCATTGGTGGGACTGGTGGTGGGGTTGGCAAGAAGTCGGCTTGTGGTTGGAAACCGTTCTC